CGGGTTACACTTCCTTGGCCCGTGAACCGCCCGCACGGGTCACGGGTAGGCCCGCGGTCCCGATTTTCACGGGCCGGTTTTCACGGGTCATGGCCGGCCCGTCCGTCTTGACACCTCTACATGTCAATATCATTTTAGATGATATATAACTCAAAAAGTTGTTAAGGGTGTAGTTAATACTCAAAACTATAAATATGGAAGGTTAGTATGATTTTTAAAATATAAGGAGTGTCGGTAATACAGCCATGTAGCTCAATGGTATCTCTGATATTGTTTCTATTTAATGAGACCCATTAATCGATTATCGGAAGACGACCATATCGCATGAAAATAGTCGTAGAATATATTGACTGTAAATGTAGCATTTCTCACTTTTTATAGCCAAAAATTATTGTGCACTCGTTACAAATCCAGTTTAATTTGAAGAGAGAGCGAAACTTTTTTGTTCCTGTAATTTTAAGTGATCTTAAAATGAAAAGTGATAGTCGTATTTTGGAAGATGTGTACCAGTGCAAGACAATTACGTCTTAAGGAAAAAGAGTCTAATTCTTACGTCTACCAAATCTAGCCCCTTCATTCTTCTATATTGTTACTCTGTCCATTTGTTTACACGATTAAATTTAAAAATAATTTAATTACGGAACTATTTATCCCAACAATGTTGATCCCCAATTATTTTCTTACCTATCATATCATTTATCAACAATAAATTATATATAAACCAATTTAAAAGAAACCAATAAATTGACCCCCTGATTTAACAAAGCTTGTGTGAATTATAATTAGGAAATATATTTATTTTACAGTCAAATAATAAGACAAAGAAACATATACAAAATGCATTGGTGTATTTATATTTACATATAATATTGGCAAGCAATTATCAAAATGGGTTTTGCTGCATGGTCACAAGGGTGTAAACCGTGATGTATATGTAGAATAATTCTTAGAAAAGATAGAAAGAAATTGATAAGTAGTTCAATTTGTTTGCCAACAATAATTTTGTCATAAAATTCCATGTCCTTTCTTACATTAAAAACTACTTATGTGAACTTCTCATGCTGTTAGTTTACTGTTTGGCTGGACATTAATACAAACTTACACTTATTAATACGAAAGTAGTTTTATTGAAATGAGAGTTTTTTAAAAAATAATCGTGCATCACGTTAACACGACTTTTACAAAATTAAGTTTGTAATAGAGACGTTATTGGTGAGGCAGATGAAAAGTGGTGTCTTCTTTGCAAGCAACTTTTTCAAGAAAATTAGAGTAATGCTTATGTGGCAGCTCGTTATTGAAGTATTAGCTTGTTATTTGAGTTAACAAAATTATAGAAAATTAATGTCTCAAACAACAAGCCATCTCATAGGATATCACGTAAGACGACCAATCACTGATTACAAATAACATATTCCAAAAAAAATATATGAGAAGCAATTAAAGGCATCGTTTGATTAGGACAATGAACAAATTTGAACTTTTTCTTTCTTTCTTATTCTTTTTTTTTAACCTCTTTCGATCCATAACTAGGGCTGTCAATGGATTGGATTTTGATCCGAATTCGATGAAATTAACGGGAGATGGATTCAGGGTCTCAGTTCGATAAACCGATCGAGATCCGAATGCGATAATTCGTTAACTAAATGAATCAAATATGGATATAGGTCAATTCGATCCGATTTGTTATAAATAATTGAGTCGGTAAAATATTTTTATGGCATGTTATTTGTCACTAAAATAAATAAATTTAGAATAAAAAAAGTCACTGAATTCGAAATATAAAAAAGTTGAAAAATTTATAATTATTAGAACCATTTAAGAATTGAAAAAATTGGAAAAAAAATTGATTCCAACATTATT